AGATCCTGAGAGGAGAATGGAGAAGGGATTGTGGCATGGCCATTCCCTCTAGGGGATAAATCCTGCTTTCTGTCTCTCTGGAGAGTACATGTGTCCTATGGCAAAAATCTCTCAAAAAAAGAAAGAAAAGAAAATCAATAAAAGTATACATTTTTTAAAGAATTATTTTAATTTAATTTTTTATTTATTCATTTATTTTATTTTAATTTGACAAGAGAGAGTGACACAGAGAGGGAGAGAGAGAGAGAGAAGGTGAGAAAGCAAGCCGCCAGGTTGGGAACTTGAACCGTGGTCAGCCATGTGGGAGTGTCCAGCACCTTAACCACCATGCCACCTGCTGGTCCCGAAGTATAAAATATTTAAATAACCCCTGACCTAGCTAACATTTATAGGCTACTCCACCAATAAGAGAACAGTCTTTTCAACTGCATATGAAACATTTACTAAGATGCACCAAATTCTGAGTTATAAAACAAATCTTAATAAATTTTAAAGGATTCAAGTCATAAAAAGTGTACTTCTACGGGACCAGCATTTAGCGTAATGGCTATGTTGCTGAACTCCCATGTAGTCAACCGTGGTTCGAGTCTCAGACGCAGTGACTTAAACTCACGCCGAGTGCATGTGTGCACGTGCCCAAGATTCCAAGAGGAAAATGGAGGAGAAGGGATTGCGGTGTGGCCATCCTCCCGGGGGGTGATTTCTCGCTTTCTATCTCTCTGTCTCTCTCTGTCTTTCTGGCAAATGCACGCGCCCTATAGCAAAAACCTCTCAAAAAAAAAAAGTGTATTTCTAAACACAATGGAATAAAATTATAAATCAGTAACAAAAGATTTCTGAAAGATTCTCAAACTATTTGAAAATAAAATAAAAGACATCAAAATAACTTATGAGTTGAAAATAAGCCAAAATGCACATTAGAAAAAATTTTGAACTGAAGGTGAATAAATGACACAAGACTGGAAAGTGAAAACTGCTGGCCCAGTACATTCCTTTTCAAGTCCATGAATTCTTAATCTATATTTTCCCTAAATTTAACCATTATTGTATAGCATCTACCACAATTAGCTGCACATTTTCCTTACTCCCAATCTACCAAAAATTGTCTTGCCTCATTTGAGAAGACTTAGGGGTGGGAAATTTAAAGAAAGAAAACAAAGATCCCTATGTCCTGAGAAAACACAGACATTTCAGGAAACATCTACTCACCTTGGTCCTGGCTTTTGAAGGTACAACATCCATTCTTTCTTTCTCTGGTCTTGACTCTGAGAAAAAGAAAACAGAATGAGATACCAGGCCTTCCTTGGAGTATGCTATAAATTAAAACACACCCTTTTGTCTACCTGATAATATCCTCGTTTACCATAAAAGTCAGAAGGATTTCAGAACCATATTGCACCTTCTTTATCAGAAAGAATGGGCAAGGTCACAAGTGTCTTGAGGTAGAATTATTGTCTAGATTCAAAGCTAGACACTGGACACAACCCTGCAGCCCTGTAGTGGAGTGCTACAAGTTCTGAAGTGTGTGGTTGGCCACTACAGTACCTTTTCTGGAAGTATTCCCATTTCTGGAACCTCCTTACATTAGCAAATGGACAGTCCTGAAGGTGCTCTCGGCCCTAATCTCATCTCAAGATCAGGTCTGTGACTTGGAAATTACTCCTATTCTTCAGCCGAGGGCTCAAATTTCTGACTTCCTTTCTGCCAGTCCTCTAAGGATATAAGGTGAGAAGACACCAGGAAGGAGCAATGAAACGACCACTATAGTTCCAAGGTGAACTGAGAACAACTACAGAAAGGAAGATATGCATAGATCATGTGTGAATAGGAGCTATTGTGGACAAGACAGAATTCAAGTCATAAGTCATTAGAGGAGAATAAAGCCACAGGGGACTCATGATCTACTGACTGTTAGCCCCAGAATAAGCCCCAGAAATACCTCAATGAAATTTTACCTCTGTACCTCACTAAACTTTCCTAAGTTCACTGAGTATAAAATGTATTTATGACCACATGAACTTCTGCACAATCGCATTTCCATAGTCAAACAGCCAAAGTCACAAGCGTCAAGTTAGGCTAACACTGTTCCACCACCTAGTCTTAAACTTGCAGAGCATACACATAATCACATACCAGCATCTTGTCAGGGGCACAGGCCACCAAAAACACCCTTGCACAGACGCACTTTTACTCTCTCCACAGGGTTGTGAAAACTGCACACACAATGGCTCACATACAATCAGATAAGCCGCCCAAACACAACCAAGTACCAGGTCATAGGCTACTCCACCAATAAGAGAACAGTCTTTTCAACTGCATATGAAACATTTACTAAGATGCACCAAATTCTGAGTTATAAAACAAATCTTAATAAATTTTAAAGGATTCAAGTCATAAAAAGTGTACTTCTACGGGACCAGCATTTAGCGTAATGGCTATGTTGCTGAACTCCCATGTAGTCAACCGTGGTTCGAGTCTCAGACGCAGTGACTTAAACTCACGCCGAGTGCATGTGTGCACGTGCCCAAGATTCCAAGAGGAAAATGGAGGAGAAGGGATTGCGGTGTGGCCATCCTCCCGGGGGGTGATTTCTCGCTTTCTATCTCTCTGTCTCTCTCTGTCTTTCTGGCAAATGCACGCGCCCTATAGCAAAAACCTCTCAAAAAAAAAAAGTGTATTTCTAAACACAATGGAATAAAATTATAAATCAGTAACAAAAGATTTCTGAAAGATTCTCAAACTATTTGAAAATAAAATAAAAGACATCAAAATAACTTATGAGTTGAAAATAAGCCAAAATGCACATTAGAAAAAATTTTGAACTGAAGGTGAATAAATGACACAAGACTGGAAAGTGAAAACTGCTGGCCCAGTACATTCCTTTTCAAGTCCATGAATTCTTAATCTATATTTTCCCTAAATTTAACCATTATTGTATAGCATCTACCACAATTAGCTGCACATTTTCCTTACTCCCAATCTACCAAAAATTGTCTTGCCTCATTTGAGAAGACTTAGGGGTGGGAAATTTAAAGAAAGAAAACAAAGATCCCTATGTCCTGAGAAAACACAGACATTTCAGGAAACATCTACTCACCTTGGTCCTGGCTTTTGAAGGTACAACATCCATTCTTTCTTTCTCTGGTCTTGACTCTGAGAAAAAGAAAACAGAATGAGATACCAGGCCTTCCTTGGAGTATGCTATAAATTAAAACACACCCTTTTGTCTACCTGATAATATCCTCGTTTACCATAAAAGTCAGAAGGATTTCAGAACCATATTGCACCTTCTTTATCAGAAAGAATGGGCAAGGTCACAAGTGTCTTGAGGTAGAATTATTGTCTAGATTCAAAGCTAGACACTGGACACAACCCTGCAGCCCTGTAGTGGAGTGCTACAAGTTCTGAAGTGTGTGGTTGGCCACTACAGTACCTTTTCTGGAAGTATTCCCATTTCTGGAACCTCCTTACATTAGCAAATGGACAGTCCTGAAGGTGCTCTCGGCCCTAATCTCATCTCAAGATCAGGTCTGTGACTTGGAAATTACTCCTATTCTTCAGCCGAGGGCTCAAATTTCTGACTTCCTTTCTGCCAGTCCTCTAAGGATATAAGGTGAGAAGACACCAGGAAGGAGCAATGAAACGACCACTATAGTTCCAAGGTGAACTGAGAACAACTACAGAAAGGAAGATATGCATAGATCATGTGTGAATAGGAGCTATTGTGGACAAGACAGAATTCAAGTCATAAGTCATTAGAGGAGAATAAAGCCACAGGGGACTCATGATCTACTGACTGTTAGCCCCAGAATAAGCCCCAGAAATACCTCAATGAAATTTTACCTCTGTACCTCACTAAACTTTCCTAAGTTCACTGAGTATAAAATGTATTTATGACCACATGAACTTCTGCACAATCGCATTTCCATAGTCAAACAGCCAAAGTCACAAGCGTCAAGTTAGGCTAACACTGTTCCACCACCTAGTCTTAAACTTGCAGAGCATACACATAATCACATACCAGCATCTTGTCAGGGGCACAGGCCACCAAAAACACCCTTGCACAGACGCACTTTTACTCTCTCCACAGGGTTGTGAAAACTGCACACACAATGGCTCACATACAATCAGATAAGCCGCCCAAACACAACCAAGTACCAGGTCAAGGAAAAACACAGGGTCACCAACACCTTGTCACCAACACTGTCACCTATCTTAAATTCCTTGGCAAACTCCTGTCATAGACACAACACCTGGCACATACACAACCTCAAAGTAACACAAGCATATCCAAACACCCCGTCACAAAAGCATAGGTATACACAAAGGTTCACACACAATCACGGTCACACACACTCTCAGAGTCACACAAATGTTCATGCACAAAACCCCAGCCGCGCACGCCCAGTCGTTCGCAGTCACCCACACCAGGTAGGCTCCAGTGGGCACACACACACACACACACTGAACCGCAAGAGACACGGCCACACACGGATTTGCAGCGACGCTTCCTCCGTGCATTTCCGCCCTGGCGCTCCGGGCACCTCTACCTCAACAGATGTGCACCTGAGGGTCCGGAACCTCTCGCCGGAGTTCCAAGCCCGACTCCGGGTTCGTCAGCCCCGCGGACGCCCCAGCCAAGCTCCCCAGTCGCAGGCTCACCCCACGCGAGGCCCCCAACTCTCGCGAACAAACGGAAACGAAGCCGCGTCCCCCTCGCGGTCGCTCTGGGAAATGTAGTCCCAGACCGGGAGGGCCTGGCGGCCTGCTCCCGGGGAAGGAGGCGCGGCCCACTCGCCCTCCGCTGGGTTCTGGGATTCAGGCGCTGGAACCCGCGGGGGTCCACCGCGGGGCACGGGGGGGGCCCGGG